AGTACATACCTAAAACTTAAACTTAAACCTTAACGTACGTACTAGTAATAATAAACTAACTACTAGTAATAATAGTATTATTATATAGACGTCTACATATTATTTATTATTATTATATATATATATATATACTACACACACACACACACACACACACACACACACACACTAAAATGTACAAATACAATTACTAAGAGTTTATATCCTGAAAATAAAATATAATAACAAAAAAGGTTTTAAATTGCTAGCCCTCCTCCCCTCTCCTTTAAAGTTTATTTGTTTTACTTTAGTCAAAAGTTTGACACAAACCCTTGAAAACTTGATACCTACTACTCCAAATACACATACTTTAGTCAAAAGTTTGACACAAACCCTTGAAAACTTGATACCTACTACTACAAATACATAACAATTAGTATATGTCACAAATATGTTTTTCTTAGGAATACAGAATTTTGTAATAAAAATGTGTATTCATGCATGAATTGTTTGTAATTCTTAATACTTGTTTAACTTTTTTGTTAGCAGTGGTTAATGTAAAAATAGGCTTGTGTGAAACTTAAATTTTGCATTAGAAGTAACTGTTGATATGTATATATCAACATATATTTGTAATAGTATTGTAGTTGAACTAGAATAGAGGATAAAAGCGCAATATTTACTTTGTTTCTAAAGACCTGATGGAATTGGGACAGTTACAGTAGAAGAAAAAGACTTATTTCAACAAATCAAAGAACGGTTGAGAATTCTTTTAGAGAACCAAATTACCCACTTCAGGTAACTTGAATTATCTTCACTGATTCCCAAAATTTAATTATAGTTAACTTAATTAAAGTAGCTAATTAAAATAGTTTGTAATAGTATACTGTAAGCTTACCAGAACTGATCTAACAAACAAACTCAAGTTTAGCTAAATAAAGTATAAAATTAACCCATCCTTTAACCCCTCTTGCTATGTGTAGGTCAAAGTGCGCATGTCACGTCTTTTTAGAGGTACATTCAAAATTTAATTAAACTACTTTATTATCATTGGATATAAATAAACTTGTCATCAAAACCAAATTAATAAATCGACTTTTAATACAAGTTTATGTTCTTTAGTTTATAAGGAAATATTTTAAAACATCCTTAATCTCCCCTAGTATGAGAATTGTGACATTTATTTTACCTGATTTATATACCATCCATCTGAGAAGTATGGAATTTAACATAAATTACATATTATAATATAGATATTACTAAAGCAAAGCATGATTTATATAGCCGTTAATCTTATTTGTTTAAGGAACCATAAACTAGAAAATCAATCATTTACCAAGCCTCTCTTTCACAAATTGCTCGTAGTTCTCTCTGATATTTTATACTATATTCTTTATAACCAATAGAAAGGCAAAGCTTTAATCTGTCAAATGATGTATTATATTATGTTTCTTTCTATATAGAGTATTGTCTATTTTACCTTCAGTTTGAAAATTTTCTCTTGCAGAATTCTCATCAAGAGGCTTAGCTAAATTTTTAAAGGCTCTTATGGCATAGTTAGAAAGCCATAGAATTATGATAGTTATAGGATATTGTTTGCTTAGTGTGTGCGTAATTATTCTATGTTCTAAGTACCGTATTTCTGTTTTTTCATGTATATTCTTTATTTATTATTATAAAAAACAACTAAAATGTAAAAATTAGAGATTTATTAGGTAAGATAATGAATAATAATTCTTAGCAGCTCATGCATTACATAATTCAATATAGTAATGTGAGCTATGCATTTGCTGAGTGATTTACAACCTGTTTGGGAGGATTACTAATTACACATGGGTCAAAGAGCAATAGAACAATCAACTTGAGGTATAAACAGATGTATATTGTTAGGAGATTTAAGCTATTTAGGATAAACAATTGTAGTTTCCTATTACAATTTGCAGTCATTCTAGAAGAAAAAATGAGTAAGATTTATTTTATATTTTTCTTTGGTGGTTAAAAGGTCAGTCAAATTGATCAACCTCATATGAGTAAGGGTAAAGAAAATAACAGATAAAATATAAAGTTTTACAAAAAATAAATGTTTATTTATTTAGGATGTTTTAGAGATTATGCAAATAAAATTTGAGATTTTTGAGATAATGAAAAGTATTTTTAATCTTAACATGAGAATCACATTGCACTCAAAGCATTCAACTCTCTGACTCAGTATATTCATGGAAAAATTTGTAGTAAAAAAATACATAATTAAGAAATCTGATTTTTTCTGTGAAGATACACAAAACATTAAAAGTCATAGTATGAAAACTCTGGTCATTTGGGGTCATGTGGTCAGTGTAATCCACTGACCCATAGCAAGAGGATTAAATTTTACATCACTGATTACTGTTCCCACTTCAGCTGTGCCTTTACCACGTGTAGAATACTCAAACTTGGACTTAGTCAGAAAAGCTTTCTTTAACCCTTTCGCGACGGGTCATGGGTGAAAGGCCGTCATCTCGTTTGTTGACTCTCATTCAAAATTTTATTGAACTTCTATTTCATGAAGTTATGTTTGGTATCAAACTGTAGATTATAATTCAAATTTTAGTACTATACATTATTCAATTTTTAAATTTAAAAATAAATATTAAAAAAATATGGATAAACATAAATTTTTGTGTTACGTGGTATGTTGAATGCAGCACTGGTTCAAATTAGGTGTTTGTGAAGTCAAAATATGAAGTCTATAGTTTTGTACAAATTAGAAACTCAAATTACTAATATTGACAAACTAGAATATAAAATAA